CTGTGCAGATTTTGTCACCATCGCCACGTCAGAAACAGTTCTTACGGCTCATAATCGTAGGGAAACATGTCCAAGCCGAGCAGGGCCTAGCTTGTTTCCCAGGATCTGTCAGCATTCTCACAAAGCAGTTTCTTTCCAAATATCTGCTGGCAAGAGTCCATACAGTTTTTGTTTCCATTCTCGACAGCTCAGATATCTAAATGAATCGAGAAAAGACTGATAGATCTAACCGATAAACCCTACCCCAGTCGCCTGTCTAATCCTGACAACTTATTAATACGGTACACTGTACGAGCTGATGGACACACGCTACAGCCAACAGTACCATATAATATAACTACCAATACCACTCTAACAGGTCCAGATTGTTCATGTCGATACCACAACCCTGATCCTCAAACGACAGAACAAGGAACATGCATGGCCGGGCCACTGGCCCTAGCAACCGAGGGGTACACACCACCTACATTCCAAATACTACCATGCAGGTGATGCTGGTTACTATAGATGCAATGCAAGTTTAAGTCACAGATCTGGACAGATTTCAAACACCTAACTCGAATTACCAGATCATTCAAGCCAAACCATAGCTCAGCATTAAAGAGACAAGCAGGTAGACATACACATCCTCAATAATATTATGATGGATCATGTAGCATACACGGTACAACCCTCAAGTTTGTTTCTACTTTGAAAAGTTTATCTAGTCCATCAAAATTCACCAGCTGCTTGAGTGCATCAAATAAACATCCACATAAATGGTTTAAAGAAATCAGGAAGGCTGCATCAGTTTGTATTATTTCGGTAGGAAGAAATCAGAAAACTAGTACAGGGGAGACATGGCTGGCACATTATGCAGAAGCCGCCAACAGCTCCCTTTCAGCTCGCTCGCGGATCCTCCTCTCCAACTCTGGCCTGAAGTGCCTGATAAGTCCCTGCACGGGCCATGCCGCAGCATCCCCAAGGGCACAGATAGTATGACCTTCGATTTGCTTCGTGACCTCCTGAAGCATGTCAATTTCTTCTAGCTTTGCATTACCAACCTTGAGCCTCTCCATGATCATCCAGAGCCAGGGTGTGCCCTCTCGGCAAGGTGTGCACTGCCCACAACTCTCATGCTTGTAGAAGTAGGACAGCCTAGCAATAGCGTCAACAACATCCGTAGATTTGTCCATCACAATAACAGCTGCAGTACCCAATCCAGATGTCACAGCCTTCAGTGCATCATAGTCCATCAAAACATCATCACATATGTGCTTTGGTAAAAGGGGAACAGATGAACCACCAGGAATTACTGCAAGCAGGTTGTCCCATCCTCCTCTCACACCTCCACAGTGCCTCTCGAGCAACTCCTTCAGAGGTATGCTCATTTCCTCTTCCACGGTGCAAGGTTTGTTCACATGCCCTGAGATACAGAAGAGTTTGGTTCCGGAATTGTTCTTGCGCCCAAAGCTTGCAAACCATTCTGGACCACGCCTAAGAATTGTTGGGGATACAGCCACAGTTTCAACATTAGTCACAGTTGTGGGGCAGCCATAAAGCCCAGCATTGGCTGGGAAAGGTGGCTTCAGCCTAGGTTTGCCCTGCTTCCCTTCAAGGCTCTCTAGTAGGGCAGTCTCTTCACCACAGATGTACGCACCAGCACCAAAATGAATATGCACATCAAAATCATAGCCAGATCCACAAGCATTCTTACCAAGAAGTCCAGCTGCATATGCTTCCTGCCGAGCTTTCTCAAGGTTGAGACGCTCATTCACGTATTCACCTCTAATGTAGATGTAAGCAGCTGATGCCCTCATTCCAACTCCAGCAACAAGGCATCCTTCCAGAAGCTTGTGGGGGTCATGGCGCATGATTTCTCTATCTTTGCAAGTTCCAGGCTCACTCTCATCAGCATTAACAACAAGATAAGAAGGACGTCCATCTGAAACCTTGGGCATAAAGGACCATTTGAGACCAGAGGGAAAACCTGCACCTCCACGACCCCGAAGACCTGATTTCTTCATTTCATTAACTATCCAGTCTGCCCCCTTAATCACCAAATCCTTGGTCCTATACCAGTCACCTCTCTTCATCGCACCTTTCAGGAAAGGGTCATGCAGACCATAGAGGTTGGTGAAAATGCGATCCTCGTCTTTGAGGCCACCGAAGTGAGTCTTCTCTGGAGGGGGTGGGGGAGGTGGAGGCTGTGGTGTGCTTGACGTAGTGGCAGCCTGGGCGCTAAATGATCTGCCAGCACCATTGAGAGAACGAGCAGGCTGTGCCCTTGATAAAGAATGGAAGTACTCAATTGCAGCCTGAAAAGAAAAGTAAAAGTGAGGGGTATGCCAATGAATCATAATAGTCTGACAAATAACATGCTATTAGAAAAAAAAAAAGTGCTTATACACTCTTCACAAATTAATATATTAATAGTTAGTTTACTGCAGTGACTATCAGAAGAAAAAGGTGGAAAGGTTCATTTCCCAAGTGATTAAAGTGATCTTGATATTTGATAAAATGGAATTCAAATACCATGACCAAGATGCGGCAATCAAATCACAGTTTTGATACTATTGCCTCCAGTTTATGTAGAAGCATGGAGTAAATTGAAAGAGAAAAGAGGGGGCAGTGCGGGGTTGGGGGGGGGTTAGAGGACCACAGCAAAGAAAATTACAGTTTTCTAAAAGGGCTGCCTGTAGCAGTAATATTACTGAATGAAACCAAGATAAGCATTGTACATGAATCCAGAGAAATCAGTAAAAAAATTCATGGTACGATTCCAAGATCTCAGGTCAGTTCCTAGTTCGATACAAGAAATGAATGTGTAACCATGTCCCCGCATATCTGAAAAAATTCATATACTTTAGGTTGCGTATCAGCCTACCAGGTGACAATGAAGACATGACAACCAATTGAATAACATTTAAAATCTAATCTACAAATACAAAACTCAACTGCTCGGTCGGTAGCAAGTAAGCAATTTAGATTATCCTACTAGTTTATCACATAAGAGGCAACCTTCATTATCTGCTACATGACTTTTTCAGGCATAACCGAGAGTTATGAATGAAATATTAAGAATAAAATAGATGGAGTATTTAAGATGGTGAAAGTTATTTGTTGCCAAACCAGTTGCCTGTCCAAAGATGCAAAAATAACATCTTCAAGTTCAACTTAACAAGCCATTCTCACGTATTCCTAAAGGTCTACACAAAGATTCAAACCAGTTGCCTGTCCAAAGATGCAAAAATAACATCTTCAAGTTCAACTTAACAAGCCATTCTCACTTATTCCTAAAGGTCTACACAAAGATTCTATACAAAGCCCCTCTTATTGCCTATTACCGAATACCTGACCAGGTTTACCAAATCAAAGAAGAAAAGTAGCAATTAACAGTGGAATGCACCCACAGGACATAAGCGTAGCCAGAAGAAGAAAGTTTATCCCTCGTTTGGATTTTGGACCAAGAGTAGCATTAGTATAAATTTTCTTCGGAGATGCTGTTGACAAATAATAGCACTCTCGGTCCACAATTGAACCTCACTGACATGTTCCAGTGGAAGCAACTTACAACAGGTACTGATTAATCATGCAGAAAGAGGGGAGCGGGAGCACTGTTCCACTCCAAGCGCATCTCCCCTCGAAACCCTGCCCCTGCCTCAGTCTTTCGCCCATTTCCAAACACTGCCAATCTAACATGCCGTTACGCCCGAAGAGATTCATTTCATCACCACGCGAGCAAGACAACAACTGGAACCCGCGATCCGCGATCCGCCCCCTACCGCTACCCTCCATGGCTCGAACCCACAGGCCTCCCAGACTGCGGCTTCGACGCCCGCTTGCCAGGCCTAACTCTCGCGCGGGATTCCGAATCTCCCGACTAGGGGATCCAACCTATCGAAATGTTGAGGATGCAGAGGAGGAGGAAGAGGGGTCGGACCTTGCGGTCGGGGGAGATCTCGACCGATCTGAGGAGCGCCCGTCGCAGCGCCATCTCCGCCTCCGCCTCCGCCTCGCCTGCTCCGCTCAAGTCGACGGTGCCTGCCGGTCTGGTCGGATTAGGGGGGATCGGGGAGGGGAAGGAACAGAGGGTGTGGGGGAGACACAGAGAGAGCAGCGGCTGCGTGGCGTGGGCGAGCTCCTGGCCAGAAGGGGATGCGCGGACCGAGGCCTGCACACGCACGCAGCAGACGCGAGGCGACGCCGCGTTATTGGGCCTGGGCCGAGTAGCGGATTGGTGTGCCCCGTTTTTGGACTGGGATCTATAGGCAGTTATAAAAAGCCCAACGGTTTATAATGGGTTAAGTTTCTAAAAAAAAGAAATATGTGGATTCTGATTTTGTTTAGAAAAAACATTTGTACCGAAGTCTTACAAACTTTAGGGTAGAAGAATGATGCCGAAATTTACGTGTGATAGCTTTGTGTGTGTATTGGAAAAATAGTCATTTTTTCTATAAAATAGTGCAAGGCATGTTTGGGTCACGTACCTAACAAGAAAAGTAAGAATGAGATCCAGACAACTAGATTCTAGAATGAGATTTCAGATTTCAATTATATCTACCTAAACCTTAATATTTAGATATATAAGTTATCCAAAGACAATAATCGCTATGACAATAAGATCTAAATACCTCTTATCTTCTTTATTTAAAATTCAGATTCTCTATATCACTATCTAGCTTCATTGTGAGAATGAGATACAAACAAGGCCTAATTAAAACGCAGCAACACAGATGAAAGCGATAAAATTCATACTAAACTGTATCAAGGCAAACCAGATGAAAGCTAGTTCTGGGCCAAAGGCGTTTTGGAGAAACAAATCAACAGAGCAAGGCAGCCAAGTAGCAGGTGGGGAAAACACATCACATATACGTACTTGTATGTACACGCGAGCACGTACAAGTACAGACAACATACATGGCATGGCTAATTGGTTATACACTGTGAGTGTGACGCAATCGATCGTGCGACAGCTGCGAAGAAAGGGAAACCAATGGAGCTCGATCGATCCCAACTCGTCATCGGCGCCCTACGTACTGCGGCGCTAGCGCGCTCGTCCCGGGCTTGGACGGCGGGTACCCGATCCCGTGGCGCGTGGAGGGGAACACGACGAAGACGACGCTGGCGACGGCGCCGACGACGACGGGGAGCGCCACGACCACCTCCTTCTGCTTGTCCCTGAGCGACGGGTAGAAGCACGCCACCGTGTTGGCGTCGGCCAGCAGCGACACCGCCGCGAACACGGCGACGGCGAACGCCGCGTGCACGAAGTCCCCGAACCGCAGCCGGTACTTGGAGAAGTCCCTCCCGCTGGTTGCGGCGCCGCCGTCGGTGAAGGGGAGGAGACCCCGGGGCGTGACGAGGCCGTACTTGACCTTGCCGTCGTCGGCGCCCACGTAGCTGTCCGTGAAGGTGGAGAAGCCGCAGAAGAAGGCGGAGACGGCCAGGAGCACCCCCGTGGCGATCTTGTACCCGACGGCGCCGCAGTCGCCCGTGTTGGTCACGATCGGGTTCAGCACCTCGTACACGATCACCGTCGCCGTCGGCAGCAGCTTCAGCACGTCGCCGATGCTCTTGAACGTCACGTCCGCCATGCCCGACGACCCCGCGACGGCGCTCGTCGTCGTGCTCTTGTTCGCCTCGCCGCCTGCTTCGGTGGTCGCCGATGCTTTGTTTGGCCCCTCTTTGATGCCCTCTTCCATTAGCCGGCTCTTCTTCTTCTTGCTTATATGTACTGCCGTCTGCCGGCTAGGCTGCTGCTGGCATCTGTCTGCTTATTGCATCATCGTGCAGTATTTATAGACCACTTGGGTGTAAGGAAAACCTCAACCCATATTTCTTCAAAAAAAACATATGGGATTAGGAAGTACTTAGCTTGATTTGGATGTAACGTGATATATAAATACATGCTATGATGATCGACGTGCCTACCGTGAAGGTGCATTTGAAGAAAAATATTTGTTCCATACGATAAGCACGAAATTGATTATGGTCTTGACTCTTGACGGGGATAGATAGATAAATATAGATGCACGTATTTACAGTTTTCTACTTTCATGTGCCCATAGTTGTTTGTGCCTTGCTTGTCCTTCACTGAACATTGCTATAAACTGGCTCAAGTCGTTGTAGCAACTTTGCTGAACTCATTTGCTCCGGATTGGCCTGGAGTTCCTTGCGACAGTGGACGAGAGAAATGGTCGTGTTAGTTTATCTCGTCTGCTGGTCAGTGGTCAGTGGTCACCGTAATGTAGTATCTTAACGACGGCGGTTTGGAAGCTGATCTGGCAATCATTGGGTGGTTGGTTGTCTGTAATCGCCACTTGGGATTTCGGGAACACCTTCGCTTCTGATTTCTCAAGGATGCATTTTCTATTTCCCTGCTCGATTCCGGCGGCTATTTCTCAGTCATGCATTTTCTATTTCCCGGCCTGAATCCGGCGGCTACGTATACCAGCTGGAACAGAGAGGGAGAAAAATTGGGTGGAGCTGTGATCCTCGTTAATCTATGAAACAGTTTTTCTTTCCAACTGTAGCTCTAGATCTATAGTAAGAAATAGTCTTACGTGATTATTTGGGGGAGCATTGGCGCCCGGACGTCCGATGGATACGGTGCCGCGGACACAAGCCCCCGCACGTCTACGTGACGGAGGCCTACGATGCTTCCCCGTTTCTCTTCTGTGCTTGTTTCTCCCGCGCCGCGCGCGCCCCTAACTCGCCCCCGCAGCCCGTCCCCACAGCCCGCCGCGTCCGCCTTCGCACCGCCCCACGTGCGCGACGAGCATGCCCTATCACCCCCCTGATCGCAGCACCCCCATCCGCTCGCCCCCAACGCTTCCGTCCAATATCCCTCCGACGAGCCACGCGCCCCTGGCCGCTTGGCTCGTTCCCTGGCCGAACAACATACAAAGCTGAAATAAAACACGTGCAACAACACGGAAACAACCACTGCAACATTAGGTTGAAGCAGCTGAAACACCATGAACATATTATTGCAACAACACGGAACCAACCACTGCAACATTAGACTGAAGCAGCTAAAACACCATAAACATATTATTGCAACAACACGGAACAAACTGCTGCAACAATAGGTTGAAGGAGCTGAAACATTTGGAATATATTATTGCAACACTGGGTGTGAAGCATATGAAACAACGCTCGAATAAAAACACTTGCAACAACATGGAACATCTACTGCAACATGAGATTGAAGCAACTAAAACATTTCGAAAATATTATTGCAACATTTGTGCCAAGCATATGAAACATCTAGATCAGAACGATTGCAACATCATCTAAAAACAAGTGAAATATTTTGAAACAGTGCCTGCAACAAAACCTTTGAAACAAAATGCAACATGGGCAAAACATCCTCCAGATCTACTTATACAACATCCTTACGATTCAATTGTAACATACTTCTGAAGCGTCTGAAACACCTGAAAGATACAATTGCAACATATAGGGAGGAGAGCTTGCACGGGGAGCCCCATGGCCATCAGATCTGAGGGCGTCAGGATCTCCCTATAGGGGAGGACGCCGGTGTCGGGGAGGGGCGCCGCCGGTGTGCGGAGGAGGGACCCGGGATGTGGGAGGAGGACACCGGGGTCGGGGAAGGAGACGTTGTTGTGGGCGAAGGAGTCGCCGTGGTGGGGGAGGACGCCGGTGTTAGGGAGGGGCGCCGCCGGGGTGGGGAGGAGAGAGCTAGGGTGGGGGAGGAGGACGCCGGGGTCGGGGAAGGAGACGTCGGTGTGGGGGAAAGAGCCGCCGTGGTGGGGGAGGAGGGCGCCGGAGTGGGAGAGGACGCCGCCACCGCCGCCCAGGAAGGGAGCGAGGTGTGTGGAGGACGGGCGGAAGGCGGAGAGGAGCGCGGCCGCTGGCTCACGGCGTTGCGGAGCGCAATCGGGGGCGCGCGGGGCTCCTGGATCCATGGGGGAGGAGAGGGAGAGGAGAGCAGCAGCGGCAGCGAACGTGTGGACAGGCTGAACTGCAGTGTGAGCGGATAAGACCGTGAGAGACGAGTGGAGGAGGACGCACGGCGCCGTATCGAATCGTTATACGACGCGCGTTAGAACCGTCGAACGTCAGAGTCATAGCAATACCGTCATTAGATATTTATGTATGGACACGGATCCGTGACCGTGATAGATCCTCACGACGCCACTGTGGGATGAGTCTACCTAATATTTTTCCCCAAACATCACATGCGTCTCTGGCTGCTAATGATAAGGATTTCGCCTCGCAAAGTCAGAGCTTGCATACATGTTTGTTAAAATCCAGCGGATATAATCTTCGAGAGATCTATGTCTCGTCGTGTCCCAGTTGGTGCCTGAAATCGAACTGTGATTGTTAATTAAACATAGAGTAGAGTGGGGAGAAGCACGACGCCACAAGCAACAAGGCTTAATTTTGGCAATCTTGCAAGGAACTCCAGGCAGGGACGAGTGAATGACCCGGGGACACGGCGATGGCCGTACCGTACCTGTTTGGACAATGCAGGCCGGCCGTTGTCTTTCGGCGTCACGTCCCGGCCGGTAGACGGAGCGTGAGTGAACGAACCAAGGAACTATCAGAGTCAGCAGATCAGAGGGGCTCGGTGGCAGTCAGCAACACGCGACGCACGTCAGGAGGATCAGGACCGCCGGGAGCTATTCGGTTTCCGTCCCCGCACCGGGCGGAGGAGGGCCGGCGGGTGGTGACCGGCTTTGCCGTACCGGGTGGGGGAGACGTTGAAGCAACCACCAGCCTGCCTGCTGCCTGGAATGGAATGACCCAAGCCCTGCGACTGCGAGAGGGCAAGTTGCGATGGGAACGACGGAGCTTTGGATCTTGAGCCCTTGGTTGCATGCATCAGGTCCGCCCGGCGGCGAGAAGCTTGAGCTTTGGACTTTTGGCTTACAGGAGATATTTGGTTTTTGAAAAATCCAAAATCTAGTCTAAAAGTGACCAAAAGCTCAATCAAACATGCCCTAATCTTTTTTTTTGGGCTTTTCTAACATCCAAGTAGGCTTGGATTCAATGACTTGGAGGGAGATAAATAGGTTAAGTCGCTAACCATTTGTTCGCCGCTGGCTTAGAGAACTAGGTTAATTGCTTTGATGTTACTCCCTTCAACCAGGAATACCTGACATTCTGGACAGGATGAATGAATTAAGGCCGGCCCTTGTATGAATGTTACAATTTTTTAGGTTCAATGTAACATTATTGTTTCTCTAGACATAGCTACATATATATTTCTGTTTCCTAAACCCTGAAATATACCATGTCTTCTTTTATTCTAACTCAACTCGACTTATGTTTGATTAAAATTAGAGGAAAATATATTTAATTCTTCCACATCAAAACGGCAAGTTATAAAAATACATTCCATAGTCTAGTGGTGGTTTTCTTCGTCAGTATAACAAAGTATAGTGGGACATGTGTGGAAGCTATCTTATTTAGCTCTTTTATTTAAAGCATAGACATTTTCAATTAATCACGCATACTGTCGGTGTTTCGGAACCGGGGGTCCTTAACCGACTAGTGAATTTGTGCTGCGTGCTCCCAATTCCGGATGAAGATGCAAAGAGACACAAGATTTATACTGGTTCGGGCAATGGATGCCCTACGTCCAATCTGAGAATGTGTTCTTGTATTCCTTGCACCGGGGTGCTCGTAGTAGGGGGTTACAAGCTAGGCGCGAGAGGAAGTTCGTCCCCTGTGTCTCGTGAGGGGAGGTGATATCAAATTACGAGCGAGGCGTGTTGTTCGATGCGTAGTATCTGTGATTCTATCCGCCGCGTCCTAGAAACGGTCCTGGCTGCCTCCTTTTTATAGCCGCAGGAGGAAATCAGAGTACATACGAGAGCTACACGCGGAGCAAGGACTATTCGATGACGATTTACTCTCGGAGCAAGCATGGCGTTGTCGTGGGAGTTCCCGTAGATGTCCAATCGGTATGGTCTTCACTGCAAGTAACATGCTGCGCATTTATTTATTGACTTTGGTGGATTGCAGAGGCTCGGCGGCCTTCGTAGCCGGTCGTGCCGAGGCCTGTCGTGCCGAGGCCTGCCGTGCCGAGGCCTGAGAAGTGACCAGTGCGGATGCGGGGCTCGCAGACCATCAAAGCGGAATAGTGCGAGACGCGTTTTGCTGAGGATACTGATACCTATGTTGTCGGTGGGGATGGTAAAAAGGTGATCGACCGTTGTCCCGTCGCTCCTGTTGCGGCCAAGACCGCCGATCGTGGCTTACGTAGTGGGTGCGGCCGAGCGCATCAATCGGATGTGATGACCGCCGAGAGACTTTTGAGGCGAGGCGACGAGGTTGTGGAACGAGCCCGGCCTCGGCGAGGCGGAGCGCAACCGATTCATCCGAGGCCCTTCCGAGGGGGTCTCGGGCGAGGCGACGGGCGAGCAGGCGTAGTAAGATCGTGAATCGAGAGGCCTGCTCGGGGGGCTCGGGCTAGACGGGTGGTCGGTCCCGCGATTCCGAGGCTACAGAGAACCGTTCGACTCCCCACGCTGCGATGTCCTTGGTGCGAGAGTCAGCAAAGACAGTTGGTGGTGGTAACCCTCGCTCTGCGGTGCCGCCTCGGATGGCGGGGGTTGACGCG